AACAAACAAACAAACAAACAAACAAACAAACAAACAAACAAACAAACAAACAAACAAACAAACAAACAAACAAACAAACAAACAAAAAATAATAATCCCAACTGTATCCCAAACTCTGTAAGGGATTGAAGGCAAGATGACCAGCATCACATGGATTCACAACAGAATTTTAAAAAGGAACCTGAAGTCTGTGACTGTTGTTTAAAACATTTGTTAAAATAATACTGCATTTTTATTTTTGGTGTAAGGGTCAGCTTACACTTCTTATAACAAAGTTATAAGAGTAATTTAATTAGCAAGGATCTCTTTTATTTTGGATAAACATTTCTTTAGTGCAAAAATGAATGGACACAAAAAGTAACTCTCAGTCAGTGAATGTTTATTTGAACCATAATATGCGATCGTTTATTTTACAAATCATACAAAATTAACTAGAGTACACCTGATTGTGAACAATTAATCTCCTATAAAAAGTTTTGGGACCAACAATAACAAGCTTTTAACTTCTTAATTGTTAACCACACTTAAATAGAAACACAAATGTCAGATTAGATGTTAAAAACCAGACATTTGAGGCTGTTTATCTCAGGAGTTGGCAAGGGCAAGGTTAAGAAAAAAGGTTGAAGAAAGGTGTTAGCTTTTCTATACTTTAACTTAAATAATGTGGGTTTAACCAGAAGGGCGAAGTGTTCTGTGCTCAGCTTTGGTCAGACCTCGACGTCACACACAGCCAGCTTTTACCTTGAGATGATGTTCTGTCACCTGCCAGGTAGATGGGGATTTTGTCCATTCGAAGGCCCATCAGAGGACTGAGAGTCCAAGATAGTTCCTTGATAATTTGACTCGAGGTGACCCCTACATTGGTAAGCTAGATTTACGGTGTCCAGCAAATCTCATGGTCTGTCCTTTCTCAGTTTTCTCTCAGCACATCTACACTGATGTCTGAGGGAAAGAGCAGGTGGTTTAATTCTACCACTGCTAAAATGGAGTTATTGTTCCTTTGGTTTAAGTTCAAATTATCAGTTCAGGTAGGATTAAACACAGAGCATTCCTAACTTGATATTTTTCACCTTATAGACCTCTGGGAATTATTTTTGTTTGGAGCTAAAATGCTCTTTTCAAATAAACTGATATTTTTTAATTGATTTAACTAAGGAAATGGGAAAAAAACTGAGCCTTTGTGATAGACTTTTTGTAACAAAGAGCTTAAAGAGCCGATTTAAAATTAATGTTTTTCTGTTGTGTGTTGGCACAACTCCTATTTTATGGGTTTATGAGCTTTTTATCTTAATTTCATACAGTGGGGAAAAGGTATTTAGTCAGTCACCAATTGTGCAAGTTCTCCCACTTAAAAAGATGTGAGAGGCCTGTAATTTAGACCTCAACTATGAGAGACGAAATGAGAAAACATGTCTAGAAAATCACATTGTCTCATTTTCTAGAAGAATTTATTTGCACAATTATGGTGGGAAATAGGTATTTGGTCAATAAAAAACTAGCAAGATTCTGGCTCTCACAGATCTGTAACTTCTTCTCTGTCCTCTACTTATTACATGTAGTAATGGCACACGTTTGAACTTGTTATCAGTATAAAAGACACCTTTTCACAACTTCAAACAGTCACACTCTACTGTGGTGAACCAACAAAAAATAACAAAGTATTGAGAATATCTTTTGTTATTGACCGAATACTTTTTTCCCACCATTATTTGCAAATAAATTCTTTTAAAAAATCATACAATGTGATTTTCTGGATATGTTCTAGTTGAGGTCTAACTATGATGTCCATTACATGCTTCTCTCGTCTTTTTAAGTGGGAGAACTTGATCAATTGGTTGCTGACTAAATACTTCCCCCCACTGTAAGTCTAGGGCAATTATTTGGTATAAACAAAATAACATAAATTAAAAACATTCCCTCAAACATCTTCAGGTACAAGAACTGAAACTGAGTTAAAAAGTAGCCTGGAGGTCAAATGCGAAACTCTAAAAACTTTTAGAAAGTCTAGAGAAACGTTGATCCAGACCACTTTGGTTATGAAAATGTCAAACTGCTTGAAAGAGAAATGTAAAAAATGAAGAACAGCTCAAGGCAAAGTCCAGTAACTTCTTGTATATGTAATGATAATTATTTGCATTAATGTGCAGTTATTCTACTTTTGAATATTTCTATGAACTTCTAAAGTATAAAGAGACTTAAAAACAATCTAGATGGATCTCTTGACAAGGTTTTCTTTAAAGATAGCGCCTTTTTTCCCAAGTCCATTGTTTTCATGTCAAAGTAAGTAAATAATTTTTATTTTATTTTATTTTAAGAACTTATTCAGGTACTGACAAGTTTAATTTTGATCTACAGAGAAAAGGTTGAGAGCAGGTCATCTGACCACAGCCCACAGTCGGTCACGTCAGTCCAAAGAACTGAGGGGTTTGTTCCAGGCCTCCCTGACCACAGGACCAAATGTGACCGTGCTGGTTCCTCCCACACCACACTCTCCTCTGGATGTCGTAGCATCAGCCCCAACCCTGATTCCAAGCAGCCACAAACCCAAAGCCTGCTGCCACCACCCAGGCCCCATTTAGGTCCAGAAACCACATCCTCTTCCCAGGAATACCTCAGTGGCGCCCAGTCGGACCAGGCAGCACTCCAGCCTCTGTCCATCTCTGGTTCTGACAGCCAGCACCATGCAGATGTGCATCTGCATACTGCTGGCTCCACCCAGACCAGTTTCTCCAACCTTAAATCAAAATCTGGACCAGACCTGAGTGTAGAAACCAAGGAGGAGAAGGAACAACCAGAACTACCGTCTTCTTCTCCATCATCCTCTTTGACAAATCTGTCGCAATTTCCTTCCCTTCTGTTTGTGCCCCTCAGGCTGACCAACAAACCACCAGCCGTGTCCGTGCAGGATGACTCACATCTCAGGTAAGCAGCTTAGCTGGGGATCTTCAGGTCTCCTCACTGCCTGCTGTTACATAAAGCTTCTGTTGAACAGAAAATACTTTCAACTTTAAGTAAACAGGTTGAGCAGAACACAAACAAGAGAGTGCCTTTCTAGAGACAAATACTACAGTTTTTGGTGAGATTATATTTAAAACAGCCCATTTTCAAAGAAATAAATGAAGCAGTGGATCAGTTATTGTGCACCCAGAAAGGGCTTGAAATGTAAGAAGATCAGTTTTGTTTCAATTTCCTCTGCAGCCTAAAACAAATTGAACAGTAGGCTGTAATTATGTTAAAACTGCATGAGCTTGTATTTCCATAGAGGTTTAACAGTACAAATCACTCTCTAATTTAAAGCATTCTAACTTTTTTAGGCAACTTTTAAACTTTGTTTGGACTGAAGTTACCAATCTTCAATTTTAAGTCCCAAAACTTCTCTTAGAAATGTGATGTTTAAAGTAACTTTAAAATACCTATTTCTTTGATTTGCTAATAGTTTTACCATTTAACCTAAACATAACATGAAAAAAATTGCTGCATTTTACAGAATTCCTCCTGTTTTCTTTGTTGATTTGGAAGAATCATAATCACATCAAGTAAAAAATCCTTAAAACCAGCTTAAAACTTACTTAAAATTAGATAAATGCAGATGACAAGACATCCTACTTATTACAGTCATTTTTCATTTATTTTTAACATAAACAAATCCAAATTGCCAAAACAGTGTGTATACAAAAACTGCCTCACCCTTGTTAATCATGTTTAATAGCAATAATTCAAAGTAATTAAAGTAATAGTTTTATGTATGATCTTATCTGTTTTTATATCATTTGCAAAGCCTTTTTGAAATATCTGGTCATGACCTTTAACTAGGCTTTGAAATGGAGATGGAGCGCAATTCCATGAGCATTCCACGGTCTGACCTTTGGAGTGAATTTGCTGGAACATCCACTCCTGAGAAGACTGGCAGCTGCCTTAAATGTTAAAAAAGATTAACTCCAAACAGCTGGGAAATGACATTTGACATTCCCCAGATTAAGCAACATGTGCTTTTTTAAGGTCATCTTTGTGTTGTGAAGCACATCTGTATGCTTCAAACTCACAAAACTGCAGCAATTTGTTTGAAAAATTAAAACAGTTAGTATAAATTTTCACTACACCTCTAGCCCTAACACTCAGAATAAAAATATTTTCTTTCAGCTGCAGATTTCAAAATGAAAACTGATGGTAAAAAGTCTAAACTGATGTATCAGTCAGAAGTATAAAGTCAGACAAGGGCATCATATTTTTATTTTCTGATTTAGATCCTGACTTTTGTTTATTATCCAGGTCAGAAACAGAACCTCATGTCCTAGCAGTGATGGATGTAAACAGTCCAGTAACAGTAAAGAAGGTCCCCGTCAGAATTATCCACAATGAAAGCAGCTCAGGTCAAGAGGGACAAGTCCACCTGCATCAGAGCAGTAAGGCCTGCAGCATCCCTGAACCTTCGCTCCACATCTCTACTCAGAGCACCACAGAACACCCAGTTTCATCCTCATTCCTCACCGCCACTTGCCAACCTGAACAGGAACCAGAACATGGTTCAGAGTTGAGTCAGGAGTCCAGGTCAGCTGATGACCAGCATCTTGAGGATGAGGCCAAGAGAGAAGAGCTGGCCAGGGACATCATGGACAAAGACAAGTCTCTGGTGGAGATCCTGGATCAAAGTGGAAGGAAAACTACCATGGACCTGATGGAGGGACTCTTTCCCCCAGAGGAGATGATCTTGGAGGGGGCCCAACAGCGGAGGAGGGCATCTGCAGTGTCCAGGCTGCCCACCTCAAACAGGTGAGACATTTTAGCAAAAGACAAGTAAGGCTTGTTGCTTTATATTTTACATTTGCATTTTGTAATATGTATGAAGAAAATGACATTTAGATGTCAAAAGTTTAGACTTTTGAAAGAAATAATCTGAAGCCTTCTTGAAATTAATAATTTACCTCAAGCAAGCACTAATCTATTTTATTAAAAAAGCAGCCTTTTTTAAAAATGTTTTTTTATATTTGTTATATATATATATATATATATATTTTTTTTTTCCTACTGATGGTGGCGCCGGTGCATGGCAGCCCCACCTCTGTCAGTGTGCCCCAGGGCAGCTGTGGCTACAATGTACTTTGCCATCATCAGTGTGTGAATGTGAGTGTGAATGGGTGAATGTTTGTAAGTGTAAAGTGCCCTATAAGTTCAGTCCATTTACCATTTTTAGATGAAAATGTAGTGGGACAGTTTGAGCTCTCAGTGAAGTACATTTGTAAAAACATTCTCTTCTGCATCATTTTGCTTTTTCAGGAAATGTTTATTTGATTTATAAGAGTAAACATTCCTAAAGTCTGGTTTTTGCCCTTATTATAAAAACAGTGGAATTGACTTCCTGTCTTTTTGTTTGAGAATGGTTTACTCATCAGTTCAGGCTTGTTATCCAAGATTTAGTCTGCCTTCTGGTGGACATGCTTTAACATTACACGTTCTGTAGTGTAATTTTCTATTTTCAAATGCATATCAAATATTTGTATTCTCTAACTTCTTGTAATTTATAGTATTTTCATTGTTTACATATTTTCTGAAATATTTCCAAATATACTTTTTTATTTTCAACATTTTAATAAATGTAAATTGAGGTCACATACTAAAATTTGTTTAGATGTAGGTAGTAAGTGTTGAGACAACCAGCATCTTAGTGATTTTTTTAAAGAATAATGGCTTTACTTATAAATTATGCATATTTTAAATACAAACATGAAGATTTCTTTATTTCTAAACTGAAACTCAGACAATGTTTTTATAACTCATATTACAGGAGGGAGGAAGAGGATGTGTCTTTATCAGCCTCAGTCTCCCTGGTCCCCAGCTCCTCCTACTACAACACATCTGCTCCCAAAGCCGAGCTCCTCATCAAGATGAAGGACATGCAGAAGCAGCTGGAGGAGCAGGACTCCGAGGATGAGCGGGATGTGGACCTGGCCAGTAAAAAGGTAGAAGCCATCTACTCTGATCCAAAAAAAAAGGTGTTTTATTGTACATGAAGCTCTGCAGATGACTGGCTAAAAAAAGCTAAGAACTTAAAAAGAAAGTTTGAGTTGTTGTAAAAGAGTGGCATGTTTGGAACATGTGGTGGGTCTTCTTTGTCCTCTTCAGCAAGAGTTAATCTCCAGCCTGGCGAGGAAACTGGAGGTGCTGCGGGAGGCGCAGCAGAGCTTGCAGGAGGACATGGAGGACAACGAGGCTCTGGGTCGGGACGTGGAGGCTACCGTACAACGTCTCTGCCAGCCCAACCAGCTCGAGAAGTTCTGCATGTTTGTGGGTGACCTGGATAAGGTGGTGAGCCTGCTACTGTCACTGTCAGGGCGACTTGCTCGAGTGGAGAATGCCCTCAATAGCCTGGAGTATGAAGCTCCACCAGAGGAGAAGGTAACTGACAGGTTGTATGGATTGTCCGTAATTTACACAGATTTCCCCTCATTTTGTCGGTACACGGTGGCATAGAGCAATCCCAAGAATTTTTTTGAGTTTTACATTTATTTATTTATTTATTTATTTATTTATTTATTTATTTATTTATTTATTTATTTATTTATTTATTTATTTATTTATTTATTTATTTATTTATTTATTTTCAAAAATTATGTTTCAAAATTATTTAACATCTCAGAGCCTCAAAATGTTAAATAATGTTAACAATAAATGACATTTCAAGGCTGGCTCAGTTGGTAGAGCTGATGCCTCTCAGCAATAAAGTTGCTGGATCAAATCCTGGCCTGGGGGACCTTTCTCGGTAGAGTTTGCATGCTCTCTCTCTGTGCATGTTGTGGATTTTCTCCAGGCACTTTGGTTTCCTCCCACAGACCAATAAAATGACTGTTAGGTTAACTCAAAGTTAAGGATACTGTAACTCTAAACTGTCCCTAGGTGTGAGTGAGACTGAATGGTCATTTATCTCTATGTGTGGCCCTTTGATGGACTTGTAACCTGTCAAGGTGTGCCTATTGCACAGTGACTGCTGGATTTAGCTGAGTTACAGATGACATAGTAACGACGTCATGAAATGCAGACGGGGGGAAGGGAAATAAGTAAATGCAGCCCCGTTTCCTTCTGTTAATTCAGCGTCAAAATGTCTAAATTCGGTGCCGTACAGTTGTTGCAACCACTCCAGTCGGGAGAAATATAAAAGGTTTTTTTTTGTTCGTGCTCCAAAAGTAGTGTGTTGGGCTGCAGGGAGGTGATTTTAAAGGGGCAATATTATGTGTTTCTCAGGCATATATTTAAATACTATACCATAATAAAGTATCTATGTCACATTTAGCTGTTATGAAAATGCTGTTTTTATGTTTAAATAGAAAATAAACTTATCTTCTCATCACTTCCCCTTCTAAACGCCTTGAAATTGGCCTCTGTCTCTTTAAGAACCACCTTCCGCTTCTGTCCCACCCATTTCAGCATGGGGGGTCGCACATGGTGGGGTGGGGTGTGTGCTATGGTGCAGTGTACTTGGCATCTGAAAATACATTTTCTCAAAGGTACTTAGAATCTGAGAAGAGCTTCACTGAGTGAGAAGTAGTGGAGCTCAGCAGAGTTTAGTTTCACCCGTTGTTTGAGAGCCTGCAGGAGTCATGGGCGGGGCGTGTGGGGAGGGGGGTGTTCTGCCATGAGGAAATTTGGCTTGAAGACACGTCCCAGGGGCATTTCTGGTCCCAAAAGGTGCTTCTAGTCCCCACCTGTCGTTTTCCTCCTCTGCATGGCTTCCTAAAAACACTGCAGGATTTCTCAAACATGCATGAATGAGTCAAAGCAAGACTTTGGGCATGCATTTTTATGGGAGTATAACATTATGATATAAAGCTCAAAAAAGTTGATTTTACATGATATTGCCCCTTTAAAAAGCTTACAGAAATAAAAATCCAAAAATGTATCTGCTAAAAACAGGAGATGTGGAAATGGGCAATGCAAGAGTTTGCAGTGACCAACAGGTAAGGATTGTATTGTTTAAATTGTATTTTCAGATATTGGACAGTTACTCGAATTTGGGTTTACAGAAGCTAAATAAATTATTTAAAAGTATATCAAAGCACATAGAAATAAGGGGTTACCTCGTTGTTAGCATAAGTGATAGCATTGTTATCATAGGCTAATTACTTAAAGGAACTATGAAATAAAATCTACTTTTTTGAGTTTTATAATGTTACCCTCTCATCAAAAACATGCCCAGAGTCTTGCTTTGACTCATTCATGCATGTTTCAGAAATCTTGTAGAGCCCTGAGGAAGCCAGGCAGGAGAACAAAATGACCAGTTGGGACTAGAACTGTCTTTTGGGACCAGCTCTGCTTCTGGGCTGTGTCTCCAAGTCAAGCTTCCTCATCATGGAGCACACCTCCCCTCCCCCGCGCTGAAATGGATGGGACAGAAGCAGAAGGAGGTTCTTAAGGAGACAGAGGCCAATTTCAAGGTGTTTAGAAAAGGAAGTGATGAGAAGACAAGTTTATTTTCTATTTAAACATAAAAACAACATTTTAATAAGAATTAAAGGTGACATAGTTACTTTATTATGGTATAGAATTTAAATATATGCCTGAGAAACACATAATATTGGCCCTTTAAAATAGCAGAATTCTCACTACTCACCTGGGCAGAAACAAGTCAACAGCCATTTAAAGCTTCTTTGCATCCTAAATGTTCTAAATCCCCAATTGTAGGCTTCAAGGCTTTTGAAAGCTTTCATCTGGCTCATTGTTTAATTCGAGCTCTGCAGCACCAGATAGTTAATCATGTCAGTCGCCTCGACGCCAGTTAAATCTTCATATGACAAGTTTTTTTTATTAAGACAATATGGATCATATCCTAAATATACACAAATTTTTTGTGATTTCTCTAATACTCTCTAATCACAGCACGTGTGATTAATATGGATTTTTTGCTAAAATTACAGATTTTTGAGGCTCTTTATACAGGTAAACCTCCAAAGGGGCTGACTTGTATGAACTGATTACATGAGGTCACTTTATTCTGGGACCTGGAACCTGTATTTTACAATTAAGACTATCAAATTACAAAACTTCTAAAGAAAATGTCACTGATATCTAAAGTTGTATCAGCTTTTTCAAATGGTTAACAGAATGTTGAAGACTAGATAGTGAATTTATTGGAGCAGCTGTCAAAATGGTTCCCAGCTGGCCCTGGATGTTATCATATGAGAACAACATTTAAAACAAATTAAAAAAAATCCGGGTTATATTGATGAATCTTGAAGCAGAAGTTTTAAGATTTGAAATCTAAAGTCTTTAGAGTAAAATATACCCTGAGTTTTATTTATACTGTTAGGTTAAGAAAATGCTTGTGCAGGCAAAACCAGACAACAGACAGAAGCTTAAAAAACAAACAAAAACAACAACAAAAAAACTACTTGACTGTACTCACCTTATTGTTTTGTTGATCATTGTGATTAAGAAGACATTTTGTTGTTGTTTTTAATTTAGTATGCAGTAAAAGCTCTGAAAGAGCAAGAAGAACATGTTTTGTCCATTTTAATGGAGTTCAAAAATTTGTTTTCTTTGAAGACCTAACCATGATAACAAGTTGTTCCTGGTTTAATGTGATTGGGTAATGCTTATTTTTCTTTTATAACACAACTCCGTTCTCCATCAGCGAACCCTGACAGAGAAACGGAAGCTGCTGATGAGGCAGCACGATGATGCCAAGGAACTGAAGGAGAACCTGGACCGTCGGGAGCGTCTGGTGTCCATCATCATGGAGACCAAGCTGGATGCAGGGAGCCTGGACGACTACAGACACTTTGTGAAGATGAAGTCTGCGCTCATTATTGAGCAGCGAAAGCTGGAAGACAAGATCAAGCTGGGTGAGGAGCAGCTGAAGTGCCTGATAGAAAGTCTGCCGCTGGAGCAGAGGCCCCTGCTGTGATTTAAAACCAGATGAAAAGGAGGAATTCTTACTTGTGAAGAGATAATTTGAATTTTTGATATGAATGTAAAATATTGTTGAGTTAGGTTTAGAGCTCAAATTAAGTTGTTTGTCAAAAATTATTGCAACCGGATTTAAAATGTTTTTTCTGCTTCAAAAGACTGTTGTGTTCTAGTTTGTGAGTAATCTTTAATGTTTGTTCTGATTTGAAAGAGCAAAACTGAGAGAATAAACAAAATGCAGAATGCAGGATACTCAAACGTTTTTAACTGCCTAAAGAAAACAGATTGGCAGTATATGGAGCAATCTCATTCATTATTTCTCCCCTTTAATTGTTCAGATTAGAAAACGTTTGGAAGCTATTAAAGAGTCAAGATACAGTATATTTAATGTGTCAGATGCATTGAAACTGTACATAAAATGTTTAATCTATATTCATTTTGCGAACAAATATTTCTTTTGTTGTATTTTTGTTGAATTGTTCTTTATTTATAGCATCAAAGACGCTTATCTCTTTATGGACCATCATGTTCTGGATTCAAATCAACCCATCTTAAAGATACAGATGAGATCAAAGGAGCTGGTTAAAAAAACAAATTTTATATTCCTGACTTTATTTCTTTACATCTTGCAATTTCTCTTGTTTCTGTTGTTTCATGAGCTTTTTCTCTCCTGTAAGATGTGTATGTTTTATCACCAGGTGACATTAATATTTAATTAAGTAATTTATTGTAGCCTTTTAAAGACATGTATAAAGAAATTCAGATTGTTTCCCTTTTAATATATTTCAGTAATTTTGTTTCTCTTATGATTGTTTATTAAACTGTTAAAATCTGGTTTAGATACAGATTGTATCAAGTTTGGAGTTTTTTGTCCAATAACATTTCTGGTTATTTTCTCATTGATTCTTTTTGTGCAAAGGAAAGTTTTGACTATAAGAGAAAAAAAAGGAAAAGTTAAAACTGTTAGATTTGAATCTGATTCAAATGTTAGTTTCACACGCTGCTTGTTTTCTGCTTATTATACTGTATATATTTTACTCTATTTTACTTCAGAGATTTCATTTAAATTGCTTTTAGCTGAAGCAGTTTTAATCAAAAAGTCATGACAGCATAAAAACTGAAGCGGATTGAAAAGTTACAACTTTACATTTTTGTTTTGCTCCTTCAGTATATTAACTTAAGATGTGCCTCCTGTAGCTGAAATCTCCATGGACTGATGAGTTCATGTCTACAGTTTGCTTTTTAAAAACATTTTAAAAGTATTAAACTGAAAACACTGAACACTGTAAACAAGTTTCTTAGTTTTTGTTAAAGTTTTAATTTAATACCAAAAAAAATCAAAAACTGTGTTACAAAATCTGACATGATTTTTTTTATTTAAGATTTAAAATCAGTTTTAAGAAAACAAATATTTCATGACATTAATCAAGCTGCAAATTTGGCATTTCTGTTGAGAAATACGCAGAAAAAATTTTGCCGAGGTTTCGTAGTGGGCGGCTGTGGTGCAGTGATAAGGCAGCCAATGTAAGATCAGAAAGTCTCAGGTTCAATTTCCATGCAACGCTCATGTGTTGTCCTTGTGAGAGACACCCACTTCACAACTGCTTCCTGGTTGCCCACAAAGCTGCCCGCTGCCCCACTTGAGTGTATCTCACATGTGATGGGGTTAAATGCAGAGCATAAATTTCATCATTGTGGGAGCATGCAATGATGACAACAAAGTGTGGTGTCTGAAATACATTTGTACAACTATGATAAGGCCTGAAGCTTAAGCTGAGAATATGTCTGTGTGTATGTCGGCTGCAGAATAGAGCAGCGTCAGCTGTACACCTGATAAGGAAATGGATGTAGCTACTAATTTTAAACATTCTTGGCCAACTCTGATAGGACATGTGCATGGAATGTCTTTACATCAGGGTGTGTTTGGACATTAGAAAGGGTGCAGAGCCTTAGAGAGTTTCTCATTGAAAGGGTTTTTCTTTATTATATTACATTAAAGTTCATTGTGTGTGTATCAAATAAAGTTTTGAGTACATTACAAATGTTGGTACAAAATGTGTTTTCTACAGAAACAGGAAAGCAAGCGATGAGAACTGGCCTGCCTCAAGGCCAGTTCTGTAAGAT